TTAACCTTATCAAAAGCTTTTGAGAAATCAAGGTAAATGACATCAACCTTTCCCTTGCAATCGAGGATGCTTGTCCATCTGTCCACCGCAGTCAGCAGGTTGGTTATACAAGAGTAACCCTTCCTGAAACCATGCTGTTGGGGTGAGAAGAAATTTAAGGACAGTAGATAGTCATTTAAACCGTCGCATATCAGGGACTCCATGAGTTTTGAAGGTAATGACAGAAGAGCCACCGGCCGATAACTTGAAGGTTCATTGCGTCGACCACCTTTGAAAATTGGTGTGATGTGAGCCAACTTCCAATTTTCCGGTAATTTGCCTCGGCTAAGCGAGTGTGAAAACATCACGCTAAGCGGCGTTGCCAGGATTGAGGCTGCCTCCCTCAGTATGGCAGGATGAACCATATCCGGGCCAGGAGAAGTGTCTAGTCTTAAGTGCTGCAATTTCCGGAACACCAAGTCAGCGCTTAGGTCCACTTCAGAAAGTCCTGTGGAATTGCAGATGAAACTGTCGTCAGTAAAGTTGATGTCAGCCGGTTGAAATGTTTGAGAGTAATGTGCCGCCAGAAGGTTAGCGGCGTCGCCATCGTTGTTGGTCGGGCCGTTAAGACCTACCAGTTGAGAAACTCCTGTTTTGGCTTGACGAAGAGAGGCTGCATAACGGAATAAGCTTCTAGGGTTAGAGGCGAATTTGTCCATAAGCTTTGTTTGGTACTGAAGCCTGTCTTCTCTTATAGCCTTCGTGCATATGTTCCTGATATGTTTATATTGCCTATACGCTCCATCGTTATTAGTTCGTTTGTATTCCGCCCAACAGTGCCTTTTGCGGCTTAGCAGGCGAAGGGTACGGTTCTTGATTACTGTAGGTGGCTTGCAGCTTTTGGGAACCGTTTGAGGAACTGAATGGTTTGTAGCACATAAGAGCGTGTGCAGTAAGAAGTCCCAATGACCATCCACATTGAGTTGAGGGTGAACATCCCAAACCACCTGTTGTAGATAGTCATGTAGAGCTGGCACATTCAGCCGTTTAAAATTCCAACGCAAATTATTGTTGGGATACCTTAGCTTAGTTTTGATGACAAAACTGAAGGCTATGACGGCATGATCGCTTTTTCCCAGAGGAGCCAGGATTGAGAGGTTGTCGACTAGGAATTCTTCGTTAGTGAATACACAGTCTAAGCGCGATGGTGTCTGACTGTTTCTCCAACGAGTTGCCGACCTCACTTTTTCGAACAATCCCAAGTCATCGATGAGGTTGAAGAACCGAGCTTCAGTCGAGTTGTCGCCTCCAGTATACGTGTGTTCCGCGAAGCTTAGACTTCGTTTTCATTAACGATGTGATTGTATATGCCACTCGTAAACGTGCCCCATTATCTAGCTCGGATCACTGTATAATTCGTGTTCTACCTACAGTATATGGAGAGCATGGGAAGAGTACATTCTTACATCAAACCAAGAAAGTCAAATATAGGAATTACACAGAAGAAAATATCCTAAATCTGAAAAACATGTTTCATACGACTAACTGGGAATTATTTACAGATGACTCACTGGAAAACAATACTGATGTTATCGCTTGTTACCTTAAATTCTGTTCTGATATTTGTTATCCCACTGAAACCATTTTTGTAAGTTTTGATCGACTTACATCTACACAACTAAAACGACTAGGGGGATGAAAGAAAGAATGTACAAGGAGAAGAACTCTGATGAAGTTAGTAAGCTAAATGATTTGATAAACCTAGAGATTAGACGTCTCAACTGTATGTTCACTCAAAAACTCTTGTCTTGCAAAAACTCTCCAAGTATGTGGAAACTCTTTAAAGAACTTACAGGTGACAGAAAGTTTAGAAGCGATAACCTGCTGAATGTTTGTGACTTAAATAAGTCTTTTGTACGTCAGTCATCTGATATGATGCTCCCTCTATCCACGGGTTTAAAAAATATCTGTGTTCCTACTTTCACTGAAACTGATGTACGAGGATGTCTCCAGTCGCTTAATTCATCTCGATGTTTGGGACCTGATGGTATCCCAAACATCCTTTTTAAAAAATGTGCTGACGTTCTATGTCATCCGTTCACAACTATCTTTAACAGATCCTTCTCATCTAATCTCATACCGAAAATGTGGAGAAAGATGAAGATAATTCCTGTACACAAGAAAGCATTTGGTGATAAGAATGTAAAATTTAGATCCATTGCAATAACTTCACCCTTCCTCAAAACCATGGAAAAATTATTAATACTTCCACTTCAGCCTGTGATAAAAGAGCATCCTGACCCATACCAGTTTGCATACAGGCACAAAAGAAACTTTAGATGCTGTTGCTGTTCTGCATCACAACATAGTGTTCAATTTAGAAAAGGGTCAGAAGTATGTTCGATGTGCTTTTCTGGACTATACTTCAGCTTTTGATTATATACCAAGACAACGTTTAATTAACAAGGTGTACCACAAGGAGCTGTTCTTTCACCTCTTCTTTTCCCTTATTTTCTTCGTGATCTGCCATCTTCCACAGAAAACACTTTTGTGAAATATGCGGATGATCTTACTGTATGTATACCTATCCCTTCCTCTTTACATCCCATAGAAATGAATGAGTTATTGACACGTATTGATTGTTGGTCTGTTGGTAATGGTCTCTTACTTAATCCGTCTAAATGTCAAGCTGTTAACTTTAGCATGAGACATGAACGGAACCTAAACATCATTTTGAGATCCCATAATGCTTGTGCCATTGGAGACTCTTTGATAAACACAGTATCGAAGGTCAATTATCTTGGTGTCACCTTTTCCTCTGATCTCTCTTGGTCTTCCCACGTTTTATTGTTATCGAAGAAGGTTTTCCGTCTGACTTACTACATAAAGAGATTGCATGCTCTTGGGATTACTCGTCATTTACTCTTACTATTTGTCAATTCTAGCATATTACCTATTATTCTTTACTGTTCTCCATTATTCTTTCCCGGGCTTTTGAGAAAAGACCTTACTGTATTGCGGAGAGTGCTGAAGGCAGTTAGCAAGATGTGTGGTGAATCTTTCGAGGTCATAATTAATATGGTTGTGGATAGACATCTAAAGTCATGCAAACTCCTGGCAGGTGTTATTTTATCAGATACTAAACATCCCCTTCACTCTTATCTTTCTCCCTGTATATCTTCTGGTAGAACGAGACGTAATTACATTAAAATCCATGCACGCAAGCAAAAGTATAAAAGTTCTATAATACCTTACCTGGCAAATATACTCTGTGACGAACAGGTTGTTAGAGTTAACCTAGTCAATAATTTACATTCTTAACATGTCCTTAATTTTAAAAGTACAGTTTTTCGTTTTTTTCCTTTTTTAAAAAATTCTCTTTTTTTGTATTCGTTACTGTGTTTTTTTCTTTTGTTGTTGAGTAAGTAACTTGTTGAAATACCCTGTGCTGAGAATTCTATATTGTACCAAAACTATAATATTGAATAAAGCCATTAATAATAATAATAACACCGTCGGATACCGGCTCAGTGGTCTAATGGTTAAGCGCTGGCGCGCGAGACTAGTAGGTCCTGGGTTCGAATCTCACAGGGTGGAGTCGTGGATGTGCACTGCTGAGGAGTCCCATACTAGGACGAGACGGCCGTCCAGTGCTTCCAGGTTTTTCATAGTGGTCTAGCTTCAACTGACTCATGATTTCAATTATTGTAAGTGTATTTATTAATCAAAAAGGAATAAATCACTGTTCGTAACTCTGTAAGACATCATTTTTATAGTTGAATATTCTAATGAATTCCCTAGGCTATCGAAAACAAAATCTTGAAGTGAGTCAAGTTAAAAAAGTAAGCTATTTCGTTTATAAAACTATTTGCTTCTATAGTCAAAAATTAACACAGTGCAAAAGCAGGGATCAATACAATTTATGAAACAGAAAAAAAGTGGAGACAAAAATGGTATATACACAACAATATCTAGAGCACACAACAGCTGAGTCAATGAAACTTACTCTTGTTCATAAAAAAGTGTACACGTTTATAATTGGCGAATAGACTAAGCATAATCATATCAGGGTCAGACCGAGTTCATACAGTGGCCGTTTATTAATGCTATTGGTAGATCTGTTGATTGTTCACATTTGACATATTTCTCTGGTTCTTCTATTTATTTAAGATAAAGCACTTATTCGTCGCTGATCTTTATAAAATTAGTCAAGTAATTCAAAGGTATCTTTTGATACATAGAACTATGACCCTATATCATACCAAAAATTTCTAACAGCGCATATCCGTCTCTGGATTTAGGGGATGGATACTCTCTTATATTGACATCTGAATTGATGAATGTTTTTACTTTTAGGGTTACAGATAGGCTTTGTTGAAGAGTAACGTTAGTTTTATTTGTTTAGTAAACATGCCAAAGTGTACCACAAAATCTCACTTCGTTTAATGGTTGAATTATAGATTCTGACCATGATTTACATTGATTAGCTTGTATTACTTTTTAGATTGATGAAATAACTAAAAGATAAAATGTATACAACCCTTACAAATCTGAACTCATTTTGTATATTACTGAAGAGATTTGCTCGAATACAAAGCATACATACAGTTTCATCAGATATTAACCATGCCACAAGTGATTAGTTTGTATTGACAGCAAGTAGTATAATTTTAGCATAAAAATTAGATAATCAATTCCGATAAGCTCTTGATAATTATACAACTCAGTCAGTTAATTCAACTCAGTTCCTTCTTATAGTCAAAACTAGTAAGCTGATGAGGACGAATACGATGCAATTGATTTCTTCTAAATAAAGATTTCCTATGTCATATAAATTGTTCTGGTTTGTTCTCACTAATGAATACAAAATTATTTAAACAAAGAAAAACTATCCAATAGTCAAAATACTGAGATTAGTGAGTCTCTCCTATTTAAATAGATACTCTCATATCCAAGTATCCATATGAACTATTGACAGCAATTATTATAATTGATTGAACTTATTTTTCAATCATCAGTTTACATACTTTACTTAGTGTACCGGTTATCAAGAATGGAGTAAAAAGAGAGAGAGAGTTTAGATGACCCTCTGTGTATGGCAACCCCTTCACAGATTTATTAAGAAAACAAAGGCTTAGAATATTGTAGTGTCGGTTGCTATGTTAAGCTCACATAACTTATTCTGACTTCTGGACAAGTCAATTCATTCATTTTTCATGAATCACATTTTGACAGCAATCATTCGATAACAATCAGAAACGATCAACTTGGAGTCAGATTAAGGGCCACTAAAATACTAACTATGGATTTTCCAATTTATAAATTTTATTGAATCAGGGCCAAGGAAGAATGAGAGGTTGGACTAAGGCATTGGTAATCCACGAACTCAAGCCCAAACTTTGCGTGCAGAAACGATTCGTCCAACCTTTCATCCTTTCTTGGCCCTAGTTTCCTTTATTGTTGCCTTAGGCACTATACTTGGAATATTACTAATCCTTTTGGCTACTCTTTTATCGAACCATTTAAAAGCGAATAAATTCATCATATAAATTGTTTATTCACAGTGAATAGTTAGTTAAGCATCATACATCATGTACGTCAATCTGAAGAACTAATGCATCTATGAAAAAACAAAATAAACCTGAAAATAATTGAAATAAATTATCGAGAAATAATGCCGTTGATAAATGAATGAGCTGGTTGTTATCCTATTCATTTGAACTATTCTGTTGGTTTTGACAAATGAATATGCTAAGTATCTACCTACCTTTGTTTGAGTTCTCAGAGAATTTGATGGCAGAGAATGGGATTCAGTGTTCGAAATTCTATTTGGTTTTAGCTTGTCTAGCTGATCACAAGTTCCTTTTGCAAGATGTAAGTAGGTTTCATCCACCTGATAAACAAATGATATTAAACGGTGAGAATAGATTGTGTGGAACCTTTGAGTGATTCGTTTGATTTAGTAATCATATTTTCAGTATGGGGTTGCGGAGATTGTTGAATATCATCGAAGTCATGAACCGATTAATTTTAGAATCCGGAAGCACTGGGTGGCCACTTCATTCTAGTATGGGGCTCCTCAACAGTGTGCATTCACGACCTCACCAGAGAGTCAGACTAAGGACCTTCTGTTTCAATGAAACTCAGTAATCTGTACAACCACATACTGAAAATCATCATGTGCTCACCAGTGACTAGCTTCGAAATGTAGTTCTCTGAGTTCTAGTGAGAAGCCATGACTAGTGGAGTTCAGCCGTGTCGGATACAAGGTATTTACTCACCGTAGGTAATATATGCGCTGGATCATGGATCGAATGAAGTTAGACGTCAACATCGTTGGATGCCAGCTCAGTGGTCTAGAGGTTAAGCGTTCGTGCGCGAAACCGAGTGTTCGAGTCCAAAGTGTAAATTAATGGATGCACATGGCTAAGGAGTTCCATACTAGGATGAATGGCCGTCCAGTACTTCACGGTTCTAATGGTGATTTAACATTGATCGGTTCATGATTTCAATGGAATAACTATAGTTAGCAACGTCGTCAATCAAAAACGCTATTTCCGACCTAAATCTAAACAAAAACAATTGAGAGTGTATGTCATTTACTGACAAGTAACACTATTTGCAACTGAATAACCAATTTGTCATTTTGTTCAGTTTAGCTATCGTAATCATCATGACAAATGAATATGCTAAGTATCTACCTACCTTTGTTTGAGTTCTCAGAGAATTTGATGGCAGAGAATGGGATTCAGTGTTCAAAATTCGATTTGGTTTTAGCTTGTCTAGCTGATCACAAGTTTCTTTTGCAAGATGTAAGTAAGTTTCATCCACCTGATAAACAAATGATATTAAACGGTGAGAATAGATTGTGTGGAACCTTTGAGTAATTCGTCTGATGTAATAAAAAAAGTTCTTTCCGCTTGACATTGAAAGAATTGCAGCTTTCAAAAGTTACAGTATCTGAAAACGTTCAATAAGTTTTTCTCTGAGATGAAATTGTAGTCACTGATACTATGTCAAGCCCACATAGGTTATTCTAGCCTCTAAAAAGACCAATTTATTCATTCTTCTCAAGCTACATTTTGACCTTGTTGATTATCCGCTTATTAACCCTGACTGTTTTTATATGATCTTATGTGTGTTAATTGCTTGTCTTATTCATTACGTGTCTGTAATTTATTTATGTTTGAATATGAATATTGAGTCACACTTGATCAGAACGAGTTGGTTCACTTTCCTCCTGCACTGCGCATCCCTTTGTTTCGTCTCACTTCTCTTCCTTCACTTCGTTTCTCTGATTATTTGTCTGGATCAATGAGTGTATGAAATATAGTATTTAAAATTGGTTCTTGTATTTGGCTTATTTTATTCCGTTATTCTCCAAAGTGAATCCAGTCAGTAATTATGTAAGAGGATAGTTGTTATGTGTATTTTGATAACAATCAGTATATGGTTTTATTGTGGACAGCGGGGTGGCTACTCTAATTTCTACCGACTGACCAACTTCAGATATCCCAGTACGACCCCAATATTGTTCCCCAATCTCCAATATATCAGGACACGAACCGTAAACGAAATTGTTTATGGGGTCAGGAGAAGAATAAGAATAGAAATAGGAATAATACTTTACAGACAAATGCATATTTATACAGTTGAGACTACCGTGAATATTGACCAACAGGAAAATGAAACGTGAAATAAGTATTGGCCATTAGGAAAATGAAGCCATTTCACGTTCAAGGATAACGTTAGAATTAACAAGGTAATTTTTGGGACATTTTCTGAATATCCCAACAGATTTAATTGAAGTCAAATATTCGGCCACTAAACAGGAAGAAAAACTACACTATAATTTGTTTACTATCAAACATAAAACTGGTTCTCAAATTCCATGTTTTATATAAACAAAATTTGTTCACTAAAAATTGAATGGGGTTTGACAGTTTGGTACTGTGAATAGCACCCCGTCTTCATATTCATTTTTGCTTTAAACAAGAAAGTATAAATTATAATGTTTATCACTTTCATTTTATAAATCAAATTGCTAGTCACTTTCGATAGACGAACTTGATAAACGTGAATTTTCAAAATACTTGGTAATGAAAGATATTTCATATTGAGTTGTAACTGAATTCAGTTAAGATATTTTCATCTTCTGACTTCTGATTACTATAGATCGTAGGTTTCAACATACTTAAAGGGAAAAACAAGATTCTCCAATACAACACAACATGCACCAATCGAATCACACTTGACGGAGAAGCTTTGGAAGATGTAAAAACCTTCACATATCTGGGCAGTATCATTGATGAACATGGTAGATCCGATGCAGATGTGAAGACGCGGATCGGTAAAACAAGACCAGCATATCTACAATTGAAGAACATCTGGAACTCAAAACAACTATCTGTCAACCAACACCAAGGTCAGAATTTTCAATACAAATGTCAAGACAGTTCTACTGTATGTGGCGGAAACTTGGAGAACTACGAAAGCCATCATCCAGAAGATACAAGTGTTTATTAATAGTTGTCTACGCAAAATAATCAGGACCCATTGGCCAGACATTATCAGCAACAACTACTGTGGAAGAGAACAAACCAGATTCCAGTGGAGGAAGAAATCGAGAAGAAGAAGAATATCTGGAAGTGGATAGGACACACATTGAGGAAATCACCCAGTTGTGTCACAAGGTAAGGCCTCACATGGAATTCTGAAGGGGAAAGGAGAAGTGGAAGACCAAAGAACACATTACGTCGAGAAATGGAGACAGACATGAGAAGAATGAACAAGAATTGTATAGAACTGTAAAGGAGGGTGAAGGATAGAGTGGGTTGGAGAATGCTGGTCGTGGCCTATGCTTTATTGGGAGTAACAGGAGTAAGTAAGTAAGTAAGTAATAAATTGAATAGAACAAAGTGTGCACATCTGTTGGTTTCAAACTAAACCATACTCTAGTTATAAACAACATTTATTTAGTCTTCAGTCTATTTTCAAGCTTTTCATAATTCAAATTCATATCAACAAATATCATTACATAATAATTATGAAATTGCTTACTTCATTTGAGCTTTTCTTTGATGACATTTGTTTCACATTTGACATTTGATTGGATGATTTATTACCATTGTCAATAACTTCATATACTCCTTCTATATAAGTTGAATTCAATGCTTGTGGTATAGGAATAAGCTTCAATGTATATTTAAACTGAAATGTATATAAAACATTTACCTGTAGAGAAAGTAACTATCTTATCTCTAATTTAATATTAAGAGAAAATTGCAATGGTCAAGAGATAAAAAAGAAAAATCACTTTTATATCTTTTTCTTTTTCATTTTTCATAAAAATAATAAAAAGAAAACTGAATTTTGATTCAATTATAGGTTGTCAATTTATGGGTCAGACTGTGGTGTATGCTACTGATGTCGACAGATATAAGTAGTATGTATCATCAATAGAAAGTGAAATGCCTGGCGGATCGAAGAAAAGAGAGTGAGAACAGAGAATGATTGGCATGAAAACGAAGAGATAATAAAGTTTGAGACGACTGACTGATATTTTGCAAATGAAGTATTCACTACTGTATGGTTCTCAGATTTTACTAAGAGATTCTGTAATTTTGTGCTCAAATCCATTTGATTGTCCACACTTGTGTTCTCGTTTACTACAGTACTAGTTGAGTAAATAATCAAATCCACACTTCACTAACATAATGCAACATATTAATCAGGCGAAATAAAACTGAATTAGTTGTATATGGAGTGTTTACAGTCAACAGCTTTTTGTGATTCTATGTAAAAGTTTTACAAATCAGAATTTAGATTGTTACAAATTATTCATAGGACGTTAATACAATCATATTTAAAGGATTTCATACACTAATAAGCACAGTGATTCATTGTGATCTTATTTGAATGATATCACCAAAAAGAATAAATAAAACGGATACACAATGGCTGGTATATTTCTTACTAGTTTTACTAAGCGTTAAAAATCAATACAATCCTTACAACAGATTGATCACTGGGTGGTGGTCAGTGTTATATATGTCAGGTCTTTCTTAGTGTAGATCGAATACTATCGACCAAGTTGCAATGTGGTCACTAGTCTAGGTGATTCGATATTGAATGCACTATGTTGGGATAAGATGATGGTTGGAGATAGTCAACAGGAAGTACTGGGTTTAGGTTTCGTGATATTTGGCATTTGATCTAGTCATTCGCGGCCCAGATAGCTCAGTGGTAACGTCTCTGACTGAGCATCAGTTCCCTCGAGATTACAAGTACATTTTGCTGACGAGCACCAAGTGGCACGAAACCTAGGTCCAGGGTTTCCTGTTGAATACCTCCAACCACTATCGTATATCAATACAGTCCGGAATGAATATATTGATTCTCGTTAGTTAAATAAACCGTAGATATGCAGTGCCGAGGAGTCCCATACTAGGACAAAACAGCCATCCAGTACTTCCAGGTTGTCAACGATGGTCTAGTATAAATCTACTCGCGAATTCAACCGTTAAAATAATACAATTTCCATAAATTTTCATACTGATAGATAAAATGTGTTTACATTGACTATTTTTTAAAAATTAAAATGTTCAAATCATCAACTTATCATAGCATTGTGAAATACTTGACATTAACAGTGAAGAAGTGGTAGTCAGTCAGTATCATACCCTAATTGTTAATAAGTTAATTCAGTTAGTCGGAATTCAGATGTTTCAAAAATACACAGTTCATACAATAAAAAAGAGTAGTTTGTAATTGATTTTATGTAAGTCACTAATGTTAGATTTGAGTTTTTCCTTAACTAGGATGAAAAAAGAACTCAATACACGATCGTAACTAGTAGTATGTAAAATCTAACATTTGATCAGTAATTTATAATCTATTTGCATCAAACGTACTTTTTTATTCATTTCTGTTAATTTTTAATATTAAAAGTTCAAATATGAATTTACAATACTCATGGAATTAAGAACGATTGATCTACTCTAACATGATCGGTTCGACTGTGTAGAACGGTAATGGGGACTGGCTAACATAAGGGAAAGACTAATTGAGGGAAATCTTGATATTCGAAGTAGAACAAACAGAACATAACGAAATGTAACAGCTTCGTGTACATAGTAACGAAAACATGGTCTTCAAGTGTGAGGAAATTTAACGAACTAGAAATAATATTAACCAATTGAAAAACGGCGAAATTTATGTGAGCAATTGGATTCGTAAAGAAATACACTTTTGGTTATTGTCTTGAATAAGATTTTAGTAAAATTTGAGTAATCTTATTAGCAATTGAAGCTAGACCACCATGGAAAACCTGGAAGCACTGGACGGCCGTTTCGTCCTATTATGAGACAATGGTGGGCGGTGGTACAATTTCGTCGATTGGTTAAAGTTAGATGTCGGTTTAGTGGTCTAGATGTTAAGTGTTCACATGCGAGACCGATAGGTCCTGGGTTCGAATCCCACGGGGCAGGAACGTGGATGCGCACTGCTGAGTAGTCCCATACTAGGACGAAACAGCCATCCAGTACTTCCAGGTTTTCCATGATGGTCTATCTACAATCGACCCATGAATTCAACTAGTGAATTACTAAAATCTCCACAAAAACCTCTTCTGATAATCTTATAATCATCTAAGTTCCCTCTTTATTAATTCATTAAGTTCAGTTAATTTCTCCTCCTTTTTTTTCACGGTTTTGAAATATGGCAACTTTTCTGTATGGTCTTGGTGTGACTTTGTACATGTTATCATATTTTTCTTAATCTTCCGATCTGACTATTGAACTGATCATACTATACTTATTGTAATTAACTAAATATTAGTAAATTCTAATAATTAAAAACTTGACTTTTTGAGTGAAATTAAACAACACAATTTTCTACTTGTAATGAATAATAATAACATCATTAATATCAATTAATAATAATAATGATAATTACTGGTTTCGGGGAACTTGAACTGGTATGAATACTTAATCTGACATTGATATTAGTAAGTTTTGATGAATCAGAAGATGGAGATTTTTCATTGCGGAAATAGTTCGAACGATGATCAGTCTGAGAATTTGAACCAGCTATTTGAAAGTTTTCGTGATTAGAGTCGTTTGATACTGATAAGTTTATAATCGTTTCTTCTGTAAGCAAAAAATAAACAATTGATAACAACCATATATATATATATATATATATATATATATATATATATATATGTTGTAGAAACGAAAGGGTTATATGCTCGCTATTTAGATGTATTAGTTATATCAGAGAATATAACTATAGTGAACGACTAGCATGTAGGGAGTAAAGTCTCCATTTAATTGTTCCATCAAGATCTTCGTCATTTCTTCTAAATTGTATTGATTAACAGTCGAAATAATATAAAAAAGGCTACTTATGATTACGTTACTAGGAAAAGTAATCAATTCGCGCTATGTAAAATAGAAGGATTGGTTTTAATTTTAGCATAAACAGTATCTTCATTACGTGATAAACTTATCCCTCTTTGGTTAATAGAGTTTTTAAATACTGAGGAATTTCCATAGATTAAATAGCAAATTGATCCGAGCTGCATCATCATTAAAAACCAGGAAGCACTGAACAAATATCTCAACCTATATGTGACTTCTCAATAGAGCTCACTCACCAGAAGCCTTGACCAGATCTATTCAATCATGTAAGGTATGAGACAGTTATCCACCGCAAGTAATAAAAGATGATTATGCAATATTACGATGAGCTATCACTGGTCAAATTCTCAATTGTAGTTTTCTTTAATTCTTATTCAATTTTCACCAAACATTTTATTTTAACCTGACTGCTCTATGAATTTATTAAAAAATATGAAAACTTTCAGAAAATATTTACTGATATCATTTAATAGTCCCAGAGTGAACATCAATTCTGAGATGCAGGTACATCCAGCTGACGAGTCCCAAATAGGACGAAACGCGCTTCCTGGATTCCACTGCTAGCCACTTTCCGTCTTTGCTTATTTAATAGTTATATTTATTTTTTATCAATAGGCTACGTTAACCGATATTATCATTGCTATATCAGAACGAAGATTGAAGGAATGGTAACTCCCAGGATTAATTTATGAATTATTACTATTATTATATTCTTATTGTATAATTATTAAGAGACTAGACTACTATGTATATATCCCCTTTGTCATAAGCTTTCGGTTGACCCATTTACTAATGTTATACGTTTTACTTTTCCTAATTTATTCCCAGTCTATTTTTTATAGTCTCTCCTATTCACACCCATTTTTGGCCTGTTTATGAATGATTGTTATTTTTTAAATAATGTGAAGCGATCTGGTCTGTCTGTAGATAAACTACGTCTGTTTGAAATATAATATAGAGTAGAGACTAGTTGCTGACTTCTAGGTCCAAAGTTTTAGTCATGAAGAGCTAAAGAGTCTTGGACCAATAGTAACTTAGCCGTCGATTCAGGGTTAATAGTTCTGATCGGGCGTGTACTTGACCAAGCCAGAGATACAAATCGTAGGAGTAAGTTACGTTAGCAAAATAGATCAGATTAGTATCAGGATTCTGAATGGAGATTTTTCAGGTGATTTTGGGCATTGGTCACAAAGCATATAAATTATTACTCCGATGTTTATCGGTAAAGGTATAACATACTGATGGCATTGAGTTAACCAATCATAAATGAGACAACACCCTTTGTATTTCGCGCGAATTTTCACATACAGTGATAGATAACATGTGTTTTATCATTAATCCAGTGAAAATTGGCATTATTTGTTTCTTAAAGCGATTGAAGTCAATGAAAATATCTATTATGAAACCAAAAAGCGAATTTTAAATGGTACCTAAGCTAAATTATATAACATACTTGCTCTGAAATCAGATTGTCTTTTAAAGTACTTGATGTCGTTCATTGTGTAATTAAGTGATGAATAAAACTTGATTGTGTTCTCCTTTTCTTACTCTAACTCTAAATCTCAACCCTAAGTCACTCGAGTTTATAAACAGAAAGATGACAAAGGACAGCATTATTGACGATGTTAGCTCACGAGGAAAGCCCTGACCCTTATTTGTAAACTTGACTGAGAACTCCAGTTTAAATCTAAATGCTTAAATCTAACCTGTTTACGTTGAAAATGATGTCAGTTGCTGGAAAAAAAACTTTAAGGGGTGACAACCTCAACTCATAACACTATCCCAACTCCTGATATGTGTGCATACATGTAAACATACCCTTCTTTCTTTACAAGAACGGATAATTCAGCTTATGAGGGTTCATTACTATGATCAAAGTCTTTGTTCCACCATTAATTCATCACTTTCATTGTTAATTATTTTATAACTAGGCAACGTTTATTGATTGGCTGCTAAGTTGTCCAAGGTCATCGGTATATTATACCTTTGCATTGATATCAACTTACCACATGATTCAATATGTGTGTTGGTATTCTTGTGATCATTTGCCACATCACCAGAAGGAGCTTCATTTTGTTTAGAATTTTCGAATATAACCATTTAGATCTATGGAATAAAATAATCGAATAATTATAATATATATGAACTGTTCACTCATTTTTGCATATTATTACATTCCTTAAAAGTTATAATTTCTCACGAAAATAAGTAAGAACTTGACAGTTTGTCCCATATATTCTTTAATTACTTTAGACAATGTATTCGAATAATAACAATAAGTCAATTTATGAAACTCAATGGAATGGTGCACGAGTCAATTGATTATTAAGCTGTAGATATTTGATCTGTTAACGTCTTAGTGATAATCATTGTCATTACTACTATTGATGCTGCTACTACTCATCTTCTTTCTCATCTTTCTTTTTTGTCCTTTACATGCTCCATTATTCTTCCAATTCTTTTGTTATTTTGATTGCTCTCCTGTTTCCTTTCTGTTCTCTTCAACTCCATATTATGCTGTCAGGCATTCCACTCACGGTTGAGGCTACTTGTATCTGTCAGCATAAGGGAAAATTTACCACAATACTACTACTACTACTACAACAACAACAACTACTACTACTATTACTATTACTATTACTATTACTATTACTACTACTACTACTACTACTACTACTACTACTACTACTACTACTGCGGAGTGTGGTACTAATATCGACAGATTTGAGTAGTACTTTTCACTAATCGAAAGTGAAATGCCTGATTGAGAAAATCGAAGAGAAGAGAACGAGAACACAGAATGATTGGTATGACAACGAAAGAACACAAAAGTCTGAGACAACTGATGGATATTTTGCAAATGTAGTATTGCTGTATGGTTCCCAGATTTTACGAATAAGTAGCTTTTTTCACTTCTTCTAATTAACACTATCAATGAGACATTTTATCAGTATAAATTAATGCCTAACGGTTGTCCGAAGAAGGATTGTCAGTGATTGGCGTTCGGATTAGAATTCTTATTTTAATTATAATAAAGAATCTCGAAAATTACCTGTAGATTTCTTATTATAGAGTTGGATTTTTTATATTGTCATTCAATGTCTTTATATAAGTAGATACATTCTCCATCTCATCTATTTACACTTACTAGTTAAAATGGTTAATTTCATTGATCATAAGTTTATCTAAATAAATAAATATTTATGATTGCTATACGGAGGTGTAGGTTTTCTATTAGAGTGGAGATTCACTATGAATGGTTTGGCATTACTTCATCAAGTTTTACTGTCTATTTATATGCCAAACAATTTAATCGAATTAATTGATATTAGTAGTTGCTTTTCAGTGTTCTCAGGAGCCCCTGTCATTAGGTTGGTGCAATGCATATCGCGATTGCTAGTTATGAAAGATTTGACAGTCACGTTATTGGAAAAGGTTAAAATTGGCCTCTTCGTACTGTACATAGTTAATTGACGCTATCATGGACCGGAAATAATGTATGTTTACGTACATAGAGATGGATATATACAGTGCAAACGTGCCACCATGTTTCTGGAGAGCTGTATGGTTGAGCCACAGTAATGAGTTGTGCTGTTTAGTTCGCGGTATTAAGACCTGGATGATGTCTGATTTTCCTAAAAACCGATGTAAAATTACTTTCATCCACAAAGGTATATTCGCATAATGGTAATGACAATAATAATGATAATAATCAGTATAGTATGCTGATAATTATCATGTGCTCACTAGTAACTAGGTTCGACAGGTAGTTCTCGGAGTTCTAGTGAGAAGCTGTGACTTGTGGAGTTCATCCGTTTCGGATATGATGTAGTTACCTACTGTAAGTAATCGATGAAGTTTTAAACAAGATCATAGACTGATTGAAGTTAGACGTTAACACCGTTGGATGCTGGCTTAGTAGTCTAAAGGTTAAGCCGTTTGTGTACGAAACCGAAGGTTCTGGGTCCGAATCCTGCGTGTAGAGTTGTGGGTGGTTATTATTCTATCAATATAATATATTAATATATTGTTAACAATATATTAATATAATTAGATAAACAAGATCAAAAGTGTATTTGACTTACCAATTAAAATATAAAATAAAGATTAAATGAAGTAGAAATCTTAAAGAGATTAAATTCTCCACTATTCACTGTAGTATAAATACTGAATTCATACTTAAATACATCCTTAGCTAAATTATAAACACCAATCAAATATACTCAGTTTATTTACTATAGTGATACATTAAGATTATATTAATCATTTGTTTTTGAATATTTATATTGTCAACAATCATTTATTGTCCATAGGGTTATGTACTATATTCATAACTAAGTAGTCAGTAGTAATGTGTGTCAATGTTACATATCATATTGTAATTTGTATAAGTCAAGTATGTTTAAGACTAGTGTTCATAATCAATTGTTATATGTACTGATAATTATAGTAACAGTTTATCATACAAAATATTTAAAAAAAAATACATTTTTGATTGGATTAAATGTTGTGCTACTAATCGGTATTTCATATGAACTTGTTTAACGTTTATATATGTGTAATGTTGTATATAGTGAACAGCTAGGATGCAGTTGAACGATCTAGACTTCGCAGATGATCTGGCTCTTCTATCGCACACTCAACAACAAATGCAAGAGAAGACGACTGGTGTAGCAGCAGACTCAGCAGAAGTAGGTGTCAACGTACACAAAGGGAAAAGCGAGATTCTTCGATACAACACAACATGCATCAATCAAATCACACTTGATGGTGAAGATTTGGAAGATGTTAAAACGTTCACATATTTGGGCAGTATTTTTGATGAACATAGGGGGTTTGATGCCGATGTGAAGGCGCGGATCAACAAACCAAGACCAGCATATTTACAACTGAAGAACATCTGCAACTCAAAACAACTGTCTGTCAACCAACACCAAGGTCAGAATTTTCAATAAAAATGTCAAGACAGTTCTACTGTATGTGGCGGAAACTTGGAGAACTACGAAGGCCATCATTCAGAAGATACAAGTGTTTATTAACAGTTGTCTACGCAAAATACTTCGGATTCATTGGTTGGACACTATCAGCAACAACCTACTGTGGGAGAGAACAAACCAGATTCAGGGGGGAGAAATCAAGAAGAAGAAGAAGAGGCGGTGGAAGTGGATAGGACACATATTGAGGAAATCACCAAACTGCGTCACAAGGCAAGGCCTCACATGGAATCCTGAAGGCGAAAGGAGAAGAGGAAGACCAAAGAACACATTACGTCGAGAAATGGAGACAGACATGAGAAGAATGAACAAGAACTGTATAGAACTGGAAAGGAGGTTGAAGGACAGAGTGGGTTGGAGAATGCTGGTCGTGGCCTATGCTTTATGGGGAGTAACAGGCGTAAGTAAGTAATATATAATGTTGTAGATCATGGTCATACACTTTTAACTGGATCCTAATTTCATTGAAATTTAACAACCTCCACAATTTCATACTGATGAAAAGTTTATGTTGTCTTTATTTGGAGAAAACAATCACGTGAAATTTCTCCTCGAACCTAAAAGATGTAATATTTCAGAACTAACATAAAGTACGAATACAACAGACAATGATGATGGAATAATGGAAACAAAACACTGAAGTTTACCTTCTATGCAAAGTGAATAACAGAATAGTTTATTGTTTGTAATGAATCAAGCCTAATGTTATAGATGAAGTTCTTGGATGAGTACTTTAGTATCAAGCTCTTACAAACTTTAAAAGCAACTTATATATTTATTCATAAAACGAAGATTCAAAGAAATCCGCTGGAATTTTTTACGATTTGCAGAAGTGAGATACTATTGAATGCGTTTTTTGGGCAATATATTATTTTTTAAAACTTAGTCTGATATTGATTCATGCTATTTTTCAGTTCAACATTTCTTCTTGGGTTTCAAGATAATTATCTGGCTTATAGGATGAGAAACTCACAGCTCTAGGGTTATCAGTACATGCTCATCAATAAGGAAGGAAAGGATAACAGCGAATGTCATCTAGAATTACAGAGTCATCAATGATGATAGTGAGAACGATATTGACTTGTTCCATGGGAGGCTTCATTTTATCCTAGGAAAAGGATTAACCATTCCGATTAGGGGCCAAAACGCCAAGGTTTTAATAAGCGACACTCGGAAAGAAAACACTATGGGATGATATAGACTAAAAAGAACAACGATGGTGGCAACATAACCCATGGATTCAAGCAAAAGTATAAAATTCTGACAATACTGTATCGAATATGTGACAAACAGGTTGGAAAAGACAATGTTGTAATTCTCAGCTGCATAGATTCTTATTTTCTCACGAATATTTCATATAATTATGTACAATTTCATTTATTTATATAATGTTTTATATTGTAGTGACTCACATTTATCACGAGAACACGACTGGTTTAATAAAAACAATTATTGTTATAACCAACTGTACCAGTGTTTGTTTTAACGTGCTTTTGTTTGACTGTGCTAATGACAGCTATTTTGTGCTTCCATTCTTTTACACACACTTCGATTGTAACTTCGCGCGAATTCGGTTACCTTCTGTAACCAAGGTTGTATCCTGGCACGATCTCGGTATCCTTTCGATGCCACGAGATCGCCAGCAAATATACGCCTCGACTTGGTCCATTAACTGTCTTCTGATATTTGGCTTCTCGGAGATTTTATGGATCTATTTGGTTACGTCCAACCCTCGCCTTCTGATTTATCTGGCACGTGCTTCTTTGTAGCGGTGTTCATAGTTAACCTCAACTCGACGCCACGCTACAATATGAATGCGTACACATTTTTGTAGTGTATAAGAGCAGTTAAGTGGATTAATTAAAATATTGTATTGCTTGTTGAGAATTCCACACTATACTTTTCGTACAGTACTGAATAAAGTCACTGTTATTATTCGTTGTCATCAAAAGTATTATCTTCTCTGTTTCCAGTTTAGTAAACGTATGTGCGTATGGTATGGGGAGCATTTCAGTGTGATTATTTCAGCATCAAAAAGACATAAGCAGAATCACAGAAAGTCGAATATTCGTCCAAGATTTGGCGAACGCGATGTTTTTGTACAAATATGATTCTTTGTACATTATTCTGCGGATGATTCGAATTCCAAATAAAGTACCTTCAACTGTGCTCATAGAGTTCTCCCCGACTTGAGTACTGGTCCATACGTAACTAAGAGAGTACAAGTTGGACAGTTCTGGGTATTACTAGTTAGCATGCAGAGTTCTATTACTTCTGCTCCAGGATATGAAAAGCTATTTTATGTATTAAATATTTGTTTTCTTATATTCTTAGGAAAAAAAGGTTGCAAATCTCTGTCATCAAATCGCTACGAAATTTATTCTAGTCTTTGGGCATTTAAATTGTTCTAATCCTCCTATCTGCCCTACTGTCTATATATTCGCCTTTATCAATCAATCACGTGTAACCTTGATCACGCTTTATACATTTGAGCATACAAGTGCATGTGTGACCGTAAACTTACTTGTATTCCATTTATACGTATAAAAACTTAGTCACTTATTGCTCATTGAGTTGGTTATTTCTACTCGTATACTTCACGTGCATTTCTTCTCATAACTTATCGTTCACTTACCTTATCGAAAGTCTGAAATATATGATTCAAAAATAATATCGTATTCGAATTTTTATATCTGAGTTGTTATCAATGGAATTAATTGAGAGAGTATATACGAAGTAAATAAGATACATATTCATTAACGTCGTTACCACACGATAATATAGAGTTAAGTTAATAAATAGATCAATAAATCGTGAAAATTTCCTCAAGGATCAGTCATTTTGCGAATGCAACCGGTTCCTACGAGTTTTTAGGTAATTAGCTGAAGATACAATTCGTCGCAGTTTTCGGGACTTTGTCAATAAGATAATTGCAAAATTATGTTCCGATATTTAATTATATATTAAGATTGTCGTCAACCTGTGAACAGTGTAAAATCCATACCGTATTTGTCCGTATAAGTATGTGAAGAAACCCATCCGTGAATGCTTTTCTATTTGATTATTTCCTTGGTTCATATTAAATGCGACAATTTCTTGCGATCGATATTCATGTGTTTGTCTCATGAAACAATAGAACTTTGTCTTATACTTAAATACAAAATTATTTTGGATACCTTAGTCCACATAGTTCATCTTTCTGCTTAGAATCAAGATGAAATCGTAAATAATAATTCTACTTGAACTCACTGTTTTTTTATTGCATCACAGTATAGACGGTTTGCTGTAGACTGTGTTATTCTTGTTTTCACAGCATGCTAGATTGGGTAACTGGCATGTTTCTTTTTTCCTTTTTGATTGTTTCTGCCTGATCGAACAAAAATGATGTTACCAGTATTTCAACTCTCTTTAAATGCTCGAGATATATGAACTTAAGTTCTTCAGTTGCAATCTTTAGTGGGAGTTAGCGTAAAATTACTCGGTTTCCTCTAAGGGTACACGATAAGGGTTGTATGTGCTATATATAGCTTGGCATTCGTCGACGGAAATAGTTGATGAAGTCCTGAAAAATTACCAAGTTATTTCTATGAATTCAACGGAATACGTTGTTTTATTGCATGTGGATCCTTTTCATTTGGTTTGGTCGAGTCTAGATCTATCGTATGTCCGAGGATTACCAATGTTAATTCTGAAAATAGACTTACTTCGGTGCACTTTTACTGCATCATCATCTATTCATTCTAACAAGACTCTCAAATGATCTTCGTTATTTAAACTAGGTACCACTAATTAATAAATCACCAATGCATATTTGTTTGAGAGGCGTTATTTGTAAAGATCTGTTCGTGCACCATCGATATGTTTTGTGTAACATTCTTCAGGCCTAGTGGCATTCGCATAAATTAGGACGATATGGATGATATAGTAATATCAGTATTGGGAATATCTTCCTCAGTTATTGCAATTTTGCGGTATGTTCCAACTAAATCGACGTGAATATCACCATTCCTTGTAGTTTGTTGTCACTCAAACTCCGACATTTGAGACAACGTCTCTCATCCGAATGTCGCGAATTTTATTCTGATGGAGGCTTGAAGCGTATTTATGAATGTTTTTCTGAAATCTGATTTATTCTGAGTAGTGATGCAAAGCTCTACACCTGTATCCACCAGAATGGTCGTGCCCGAATTCCAGGCTCTAATATACACCACGCGGTTGTTTAGGTACACCTTCCAATTGTCACAACATGTGGACAGGTTGATTTTACCATGCTGACTGGGCATCGAACTTCCAGTAATACCAGCATAGCTTTTCGAACTGTCATGAAATGATCTGAGGTCTTGTTGCAATAACGAACTGCTCCGTTTACTGTTGTCTGTTCGGTCAACAGTCTCTGTGAGTCTCTTACCGATCGAGTTGGTTTGTACTGTGGTTGAATCTGTCCATGGTTTCGCACTTTATGTCATACGATTGTACCGATCTGAATCAAGTGCTGAGTGAGGTAAGGATATTTAAATCTCTTGTAAATCTAAACATGGAGGGCTTGCATCAATCCTTGTTTTAAGACTGCCTCACCCACTACGTTGTAACCGACTGAAAATTAATGTCTCTTGCTGGAAATTTTCGGATGCTTCAAATGTTCGATAAAGATAACTGATTAATTATACCTCGTCATATTGCTGTGAGCGGTTGGGGTGTGGGAAAACTTAAAATTATTTCAGGAACCCATTTTGTAAGTGATGCCATGTTGCATCTTTGATTCCTATATATTTCCCTTATGCTCGTAGTGAAATCGAGCCAGGGATATTTGGGGTGTTTTACGTCTTGAAGAGATCGCAATTGTGTCGGCTATATTTCGCAAGGCGAAGTTCCATTGCCTTAAAACATTCCTTGTAAGGTTAAATTTGATCTTCCTAATCAATTTTCCCTCAGTGTCGGATAGATTCTAGAGCACTCTTATCATTTCGGGGTGGGGAAGGAAAAAATATATTTCCATGATCTGAATGGTGCCTAGCAGAACTGTTGAAAATTAAGGTGAAAGTTCTCCTATCAAGATGTGTTTCCTACAAAATGTTTGTTTGATTGTATAGTAAAGGACACTTCGTATTCAAAAAATTTGGGCATGTTGGGTAATAAGGAGCAGGTTGATAAACATGTTTATCATCTTCTTGCTAGATGTTGTAATCTTAACGAGGTGAGGATAATTTTCAATTTTTACGTATGTTTAGAGAAAATCGAAAGCTCTTGAGATAGCAAAACTTTACCATGGCGTCAGTGAATTCACAACAGCTAAAAGGTCAGTGGACTTGTTATCAGCTATTTCTGCAGTTATGTTGAAGGTTACTTGGAGTTTAGACCCGATTCTGTACCTGCGTACACTCTTTTGGCGAAAATTCAGGAGGATATGGATGATTTATCAGGAGCCTTAGGGACCTACAAGTCCCTTCGGACACTGACCAATCTCGATAAAAGCACTGCACTGCATGGTATGTGTCTCATTTTCGCTCATTAGTTTTAAGCTTGTCTTCTGGCGCAGGAGTCACAAGATATTTCGGAAGTTGAGGTACTTTCCTTACACTTTATAATTGTTTAGTTCTGGTCCGGTGTAGCACAAGACATGTTTCCTTCCGAAAAAATAACATTTCTGTTAAAAGTATTTGTTATTACAGCAATCTCATGTCTCTAGGAAAAAGTCTTGACTCGCGGCGACAAAGTCCCAGAATTGTTAAAACTTTTGGAATCTCAGTTGGTATGCTATTTCGTCATTTTACCATTTCTTTTCAGCAAAAAGATGAGAGTGATTCCGAAGTCTGTATTCGACTTGTTAACTTGCTTTGCAAGTCAGGATCTATTGTAGATGGATTTTCACGCTGTTTGAATTGCATTAGTGCTGGACGACATATCGGTATTGCTGGCTGGTTTCATAACTGCCTGAGTCTTCTGGAAGTAAGTGCCCTCCTTAGTTATAAGTCACGTTTAGCCTGCGAAACTTTCCATCCCTAAAGCAGAACTACCTTTGGAGTCGTTATGTTTAGTTCGTGCAGTTTGTTTGATGGAGTTGATTCGTGTGACATCACAAACTTCCTGTTTGTCTGATATGCATCAGTTACTCATCCAGCTAGAAGCAGTCTCTAGTGAACTTAGTAAATTACAGTCTAAAGGTTCAAGTATCCTTAACGGATTCGCTGTTATTTGGCTTAATTTCTATGGTGGTGTTATGCTCAACGGCGTTTTATGAATAAATGTACTGAGGTTAGTTTTATTATGCAATCTACTAAGTAGCTGACTAGAACTGTGTCTTCATTTTAGCGAATATTTGGTATCTTATGCTAATCTTTCTCAATCCTCAGTAGTATGGAGTTACGAATCATTCGATTCAGATAACATAGTGCCTCTAGGGTTCATTTCTACTTCAAAGTTGTGAACAGATGCTGGTACTATGTGTTTGAGTAGTTAACTTTCTTAATACACTATTCGATTCAAGAAAAAGTTTCCCTATATGTAAACAACTTAGTCCCAGTCTTTTAATTGTTTTTGTGGGAATCTCTAGATGGTCAATTGCAGATGAGAGAAATATAAGACGTTGAATTATAAAACAGCCAACACGACTTTAACCTTTGGCGTACAATAGAACTGTGAAACAGGGTTAAAGTGTTTGACTTCTCTTGTAAATCTAATTAAAAAGTGTTTTTATAATTTAGTTACTACCTACATTAATCGCTTTCGTGGTTCATTGTTTGGGTTGGAAAAATTTGCGAATACCTGACGTTACGACAAGGGCGTATAATGCGTGCTCTCTACTTGAGAGGTCAATTTATACAGCTTATGGCTACTTAAAGGAGTTTCAGACGGTTTTACTAGCAAGTGTCCGATATAGAACGCTTCACAACAATGTGTCAATTAAGGTTGTAACGCAAGAAATTGTTTTTAAGACGTTGGTTACCGAGTTGATTTTAAGTGCAAGTGCTTTATAAGATTCCACTCTCGTATGGATCAGTAACTGTAATGCTAAAGATATCTCACTTAATGATGAACAATTTGTTTCAAAACTTAACTCATTGTTATTTTGCTGCTTAGTCTTCAGATTTTCCACACTTCCTCGCATTCCACTTTTATCAACGTGTAAGTAATGCTCGACAGCCCGATGTTATACCTGCGTCTTCCAATATCTCTGCTTCACTTCGACATCATCTTCGTCGAGAATGTTCTTCAATTTGTACTCAGGCTACTTACCTGGTTCACTTATTTTCAACCTCACTTAATAAAACAAAACCTAATAAGGAGAACGCGATCAACTTGAATACGTTAACGTGGAAGGAGCTAATTAGTTTGACTGATGAGGTTATGTTATCTGAAATCTCCACATTGGATATGTATAGTTTTGATACGGATGACCAGAAATCATCCAAAACCTTTGAAATGCATGGTTCCCTTGACGGTAAGCTCCAAAGGTCTAACATTTTATAGATTACCAGACCCAACTAATTATTGTATTATCTGACCAAATTTTTTCCCACTCAGTCCGAAAAAATATGCAATTCACATAAGCTCCAGTTTAATTTATTTTGTCGATACCCCTCTTTTCAATATCAATGCCATATGTAACGTAACGACCTAGCACAAATATGTATCGGCTACACTACATCATGTCATAGATGCATCAGCAGTATCAGTAATAAGAAAGATTAATCAAAAAACGATTCGAAAAAATAAGTTTGTGAGGTAAAACGTTTAAAATAATTTTAAAAATCAGGATTGTGTGGTAAGCAAAGTGAATACATCTACATATATCACCTATCGTCTCCAACCACAGTAGTTGCGCAGACTCCAACCAGGTAGTTTACATTTATCAATATGACTCAAAGTAGCAGTCAATGTCAGTCACATGCAACGTAAAGCGTAGTAGTTGACGCATTAATACCAAGCCTTGGTTTGGTATCCCCTAGCTTTTTCCAACATGCTTCTATGTCAACTAACATTGTGTCTTCTTTGTAATCAATAGTTTAGCCTAACTTTGTTCTCTCAGTTGTTGTAGCATTAAGTAAGAAACATAATACTGATGACGGGAATTCTCTATGTTGACTGCTTTTTAGCTTGTACAGCAAAAAGCTATTTATTAAAATGTGCCTGGTTAGCGTATGCGTTGGAAAAAGGCTCGTACAATAATAATGATTATAATACTACGTTCAATTTTTGATGTTAATTTATTCATTCGTCGGTAACTGTCCAACCCAAAAGTTTAGGTGTATATTCAGCAACCACATTTGCCATGTAACACTAGTGATATACATATATGAATTCTCTTCCATCCTTTTGCCTAAGGTGCTGTATACCATACAATATAATCGAATGTTGTACATCTTAGAGCAGGCTTTTTGACTTTATTACTTTGTTTATCCATTCCACTATGGACTGCTCTAATTTTCAATACGATTATTGTTTGTTATTGCGTATATGTTTCTCGTGCAACTTTGACCAGTTTTTAGGAATAGTTTTTATTTAAGTAATTTGTCGAATTTTTATCCAGAAAATTTTTCCTGTCTTCAGAATACTTAACATCCCCTGACTGTTTAAATCTTATACTGTGGATTTGTGCTCAACAGTTATCATTCTCGAATGTAAGTGACGAGGATTTTACTCTCAGCTTGCCTAGACTGGAATTTCTGCTTAAATGTAAGTTCATTTACTATTACCCCATAGGTCTTAATTGAACTGTATTTAAATATGTTGTTTTAGTTTTTGTTACTATTAAAACTACGAAGTACTTGAGTGTTTACCAAAATTTTCTGTCAGTATTATTAAATGTGTTTAATCATTTTAGACGCATAGTGAAATGCAATATTCCTTCAGTTTTCTGTATCTCTAGAAGTTGTGCAACTTGAATCTGTTACTCAACCGCCTATAAAAGTATTTTCGACGATAATCTGGATAATTTTCATTGTCTTACCATTTGTTATAAACGTAGAACCAGACGTAATGTGCGTCGTCACAAATTATTCCACAAACGTAAAACTGTTCAGAAAAGATACGTGTATGAAGTAATGTGTCTTGTCTGCACAGGGATTTAAAGTGTGATTGCATCTGCTGTACGATGGCATTTTAGCCGTTGTCAACTGAGGGTTCGACTATTGATTTTGGTGTCTAAATCACTTACTAACCCTCTATTTCGAGAATGCGGTGTAAGATGTTACGTAGTGTGCACTATTCTAACTCATTTAGAAACTACAGCCTTATATACTTCACTCTGAATTACACTTTTTGTAAGTGCTAATGTTACTCTTTGATTGTTCAAACCGGAGCAGGTGGAGTGCGGTTTTGATGTTCGACTTAATGGTTAAATGTCAAATGTTGTAACCATTACTGCGCCATTCGACAGCGTAGATACTTGGGGTTGGGCGTTCGCTCTGTGGTTGAAGTATCCAGCGTTCAACCATTGGATCGTAGGTTAAGGCACGACCTCACCCTGTTTATTCTGGGCAACTGAGTAGCTTCATTAGCTGCTAGACTTGAAAAAAATGTAGTTCATGGATGATTACATGAATATCTATACATGGTAAATAAGTCCCATTATTTAAGTTATTTATCATTACTTAATGATGCTTATACTAATACTGCATATTTTTTGTATCAGTAGTCATTTACTAATCACTTGTTCTTACAAACTTTTGAATATATCCATGCTACTTGTGGAGCGACATCTATTCATTTTCAATTTCACATTATTATTCAGATTTCAAGCCTATTGGTTTTTAGCACATTTAGAGGATAATCATTAGGATCTATAAAATTTGATTATAATTACTCAAATGCACATTTGTGTAAATAGTATCTTACTAAATAATATTATTTCAGTCATAGTCATTAAATGATATTTTAAATGTTCAATATACCACTGTCAGTATTATTATTTCTATATTGCTCTTTTTGTTAACTTCCCCTTGTTATGCTTCTGAGAATAGTGGTAACTTGAATTAGTACACAGTTATAAATTAACAACCATAGCAAAAATAATATAGGTACATGGAATGTCCGGACAATGTAGAAAACCGGGAGGACTAATCAGACAGCTACGGAGATGGTCAGTCAGTCAGTCAGCTACAACGTAGGACCAGGCACATATGTGCATCGGTCCAGGTTGCCATACCGCATCAGCACAACAAGATGAACACCGGATTCATAGCAGTGGTTAGGTCAAAGGTGGTAATATATAAGAGAAAGATTGCATATAGAGATATAGTACAAGAAGAGAGAATTGGTTCGTAGAAAGAAAGATATGAAGTGATTTTAATCTCTTAGTTTAAGGGAAGACAGGGAGTGTACACACCTACGCCATTGTGATCGACTCTGAGCCATGTCACCAAGAGTCTCCAACCACTGGTTACGATAGTCACGCGGACCCCAACCAAGTAGTCTGCATCTACCAACATGGCTCAGACTAAAGGTTAGTGTCTTCAAGCACTGATGCCACGTTTTGGTTGGCCGCCCCTAACTTTCTTCCAACCATCTCCAATACCGGATAGCATTGCACGTCGTGGTAATCGGTGTTCAGGCATACGTAACACGTGGCCCAACCATATCAGTCGATGAAGATTAACAACCTCATCAACTTATTTACCATCATTTCCTAATACCATGCGTCTAACCTCACTATTACTTATCCGGTGATCCCAGCAGACGCCAGCAATATTTCTAAGGCATCTGTGGTCAAATACTAATAGCTTACGAGTGTCTTCTACTCTTAAAGGCCATGTTTCGCTGCCGTAAAGTAAAACAGAACGGACTACCGCACAATATACTCGTCCTTTTATTGATATCTCGCCTTCGCCATAGGTGACGTAAGTTGGTAAAAGCCAAACGAGATTTTCGAATCCGTGCTAAGATTTCATCAGACACCAACCCATTAGGGCTTATTAGACTTCCAAGATAAGTGAAGTTGTCAACGCGTTCGACTACTTCAGTCCATATCCTTAGTTCAGGTGTTGACGCAGACCAGTCCTGAAGCAACAACTTGCATTTAGAGGGAGAGTCTCTCGTGTTTGCAGTTCACGAGTCTTAGTTAGGCGTCTGATAATTATCGAAGCTAGTATTTTAGATATTATATTAGTTAAACTAATCCCTCTGTGGTTGTCACAGGATGATTTTGACCCTTTCTTATATATTGGGACGATAAGTGATTGTGACCAGTTAGATGGGATAACGTCTAATTCCCAGATCTTAGCTAAAATATTAGTCAACCTAATCGCTAAAATTGGACCACCATCCTTAAAGACCTCTGGAGCCAGTCCATCTGGACCAGCTGCCCTTCCTCGTTTCAGATTAACTATAGCCTTTTGAACTTCAGCAAGAGTTGGGGGACCTACTTCAATGTTCCATTCACACTGTCTGGGAATGGAGGGTAGTTGTAGAGTAGCTGAAGGCCAGCTGAACTGTTCTCTGAAATGTTCCGCCCATCGTTCTAAACGTCTGGACTGGGAGCAGATGAGGGTATCGTCTTTTTCCGAAATAATCTCACTTACACTTGACTTATTAATTCCAGTTTCTTTTATTAGTCTGTAAAGCTGTCTTGTGTTCCCTATAGTCGCCGCCTTTTCCATCTCTTTTGCTTTCGTTGCCCACCACTGCTCACGGTCGTTTCTTAGACTTTTTCTTAACCTAGATCTGATTTGTTGTCGCTCTTCATCATGTTCGGAACCTGATGGGACGAGTTTGCGAGAATCCATCAGTGTGATAGACTTTGAAGAAATCCACTGGTTCTTTGTAACTCTGTGGTTTAAGTCGCTAATAGATGTCACTGCTGTTTCCACAGCTGCTTGTATCTTTCCAAGCAACATCTGGGTCAGCCTCGTCTTCACAACTACCTAAGTGTGACCTCAGTTGTTCCTGGAACCTACTTTTGGTTTTCTCACTACTCAATTCAGTTCTAATGGGTCTTTTTAATGTGGCTTTTTTGCGTCCAGTGAGGCGCAAGCAGATGCGTGCCCGTATTAGGGCATGGTCGGAGTCCAAGCAGGTACTCCAGAATGAGCGACAATCTTCTACCGACCCTCTCCAACGATGACTGATGGCAATATGGTCTATTTGAGTCCATCGTTGGTTTGGTGTAGGGGGTCGCCATGTTAGACGATGTCTCTCCTTATGCTTAAAATTTGTGTTTGCTAAAAATAAACGATTGTCTGAGCACAGTTGCAGCAGACGATCACCATTATCTGTTCGCTGTGCCGGAATGCTAAAATATCCACCTAAATGCCTTTCTGTTTGGTTTAAGCTACCTATCTGAGCATTAAAGTCACCCCTACGAGTACTATGTCTGAGCGTTTAGCTTTCTGAAGAAGTTCGGAAGCTTTCTGTAAAATTCATCTTTCACATCATCTGAGCTGCAGTCAGTGGGAGCGTAGGCAGAAACGACGAAAAGGCAACGACGTGTGTCCCTATCCTTCCGAGTTCTTACGGAGCCGTTTAGCCGAACAGCACATAGACGACTGTTGACGGGGATCCACTCTAGCAGTGCTTGTTCCGCCCTCATGCTTAGTGCTATGCCTACACCTGCCAGTCCACGAGAACTGGCCATCGGGTCACCAGATACACGGAGGGTGTATCTCGTTGGCTCTCCGTTTTGCCGAGGTGAGGTCAAGTGAATGACCACACTGGAATCCTGTATGCGTGTTTCGGAGACACAGCATACATCAATGGAAAGAGACTCTAGGGTTTTAGCCAAGGAAGCCTGCTGACCGATTTGACATAGGGTGCGTACGTTGAAGGCTCCAATGTGTAGTTTGGAGCGAGGTTTCAGTAGACCTGGGACAGTTTTGAGCACTAGAATCGTTGGCTATGGTGACACTTGAGGAGGAAGCCGAAAAGGAAGTTTAGAGTTGAAAGTCGATGTAGGAGGAATAATAGGAATTGAAGAGGAAGGTTGATTATGAATACAGTGGTCTTGAGTGCTGTTAGAGATATGAGGGCGGTTATCACTTCCCGGTTGCCCACACCGTGGAAGGGTTCTTCTGGAGGTACCTGAAAAGGAAATTGGATTAGAGGTGGTCTCAGTGACCTGAGAGCGTGACCGCAGTGCCCAAGGGACAACTGCTTGAGGTCGGTCACACACGACCTTTTTATGGGTAATTTTTGTGTTAGCTCCGTACTTGTTGAGACCTTACCGCCGGAGACGGATATCCGTGGGATAAGGTGAGGTGTGCATTTTTAGGGTCGACCTTTTCTAACCCCACCCCTCCTTGTGGGAAGGCAGCATCGCTGTCATGCTGGTTGTCTGAAGGAAACACCTTACTGCTGTCACACCTCTGTACAGTCAGCAGTACGACTTCGCCTTCGGACCTTGGGTTTGTTGCTTTTAGTCTTACCGCTCTTCAACCGACCTGTCTGACATGGTAGGACCTTGAGGAACGGTTGTTCCAGTCAGTGTAGCTCGGTTGCTTCATCACGATAGGCAAGCCCGACCACCACGTCAACTTAGCAACAACGGTCGGGAACGGAGATGGGGTGATACAACTTAGCGGTGTTCGGAATCAATGAAACCCATTGGACCCAAGCTAGACAGAACAGGTTAGATTCTGGAGAGATGCTGCTGTACTTTGGTTACAAAGAAGAAAATGTTCCATACACTCAGGGAGTTGCTCTGATGATGTCCAAAGAAGCACGTAAAGCACTTGTAGGATGGGGATCTCATAGACTCAGAATCATCTAAGCATCATTAAAACAAATAAGGAAGGATTCACAGGGAATGTTATCCAATGTTGTGCACACACCAATGATAACGATAACAATGATGAGATCAGTTTTCCAAGATGCTGCAACCTATCATAGCAAAGTGCTCAGCAAAGGATCTGACCATCCTGATGGAAGACCTAAACGCTAAAGTCGGGATGGACAACAATGGGTATGAAGATATCCTTAGACGACATGGACTGACTGGGAGAAAAAAACAAAGGTGGGGAGAGGTTTGCATATCTATGTGCATTTACCAAAATGGTTACAAGCGGCACTGTATTCCCCCCATGAACATATGCACAAAACTGCTTGGGTCTCACCGGATCACACTACAAAGAATCAGATCAATCATATTTGCATTACTAAAGAAAACTACAAGGTTAATTGAAGATCTGAGAACCAGAAAAGAGCTGACGTGGCTTCAGATCACTACCTGGTGGTTGCCAAGGTGAAACTAAAGCTAAAGGAGCACTGGACAACTGAGAAAACAGCCTTACAAATGTTCAATAAAGCCGTCCTTCGAAAAACGAATTCAAGATAACTCAACAACAAGTTCCAAGCCTTACAAGATCTACTCGAAGACGAAGAAATAATTGTCTACACAGGATAATCAATGTCCGTTGGCCGGTTGCCATCAGCAACAGGTAGATAACAAACTAGCTTCCAGCTGAAGAAAAAGTTAAGAGAAGAGGTTGGAGGTGGGTAGGAAACATTGTAGAAACCATCAAACTTTATCATGAGGTGAGTCATGACTTGGAATCTTAAAAAGAAACGGAAAAGAGGAAAACCTAGGAACACATTGCGTCAGGAATCAAAAGCAGATACCAAAAAGATGGATAGCAACTAGAAAGGATCGCCCGGGACAGAGTTCGATGGAAAATGCTGGGGGTCGGTCTAGGCTCTTTCACTAGAAGTAACAGGCGTAATTAAGTAAGCTATGACTTAACAGCCCTGTCAGGTGACAAAAGCGTCAATTGAAATTCGTTTCAACAGTATGTCAACGGCTAATTTCGTATTGGTCTTCGATTCAGTAGCTTCTCTTCCTGCCCCGCCCATTGAGTTCAGGACACAGTAATCAACCTCCACTATGCGAATACTACATTCAAGCATACGTAGTTTACATACAGACATAGCCGACCACGTCACAACATAGAATAGAAGATAACAGTTATATATGATCAAGCCAAAAGTGGCTTTGGCTAAGGAAGATTACAAATAGTAAATTGGCAATAGACTAAAAACAGTAAATCGCATAACAGTAGTTAGTGAGTCAACTGAAAGCTTATGGCCATATATATGTAATTGTCCATAAATCAGTGTTGGAAGTTATCATTATTTTAGTCCTCATTCGGATATAGCACACACTTGTTCAGATTCTACGTTGTTTATGACTACCTGACTGACTAACTTATCACCGAAAATGTAAAGATATCGGTTCTGTGTCCTTTTTAGACACATTATAAGAACTAACTGATTTCATGCTTCGAAAGTTCATATAATAATTTATTTTTTACTAGACTTTTTTTAATATAAGTAACTTATCTGATTCTTTACAGCGGTCAAAAAACTATTTCCCAAGTTGGAGTTTTCTTGTCCATCACCTGTTTTTGGATCACCTTCTGAGCTTAAATCTGATTCAACCGCAAATGTTGATCAACTTTATCAAATCGACGTAATTTGTTTTCTGATCACCTGTTTTCTTCATATTTCTACACGAAGTCTTTCCAAAACAAATTCAAATTACGCACAATCTCTTAGGTCACAGTTAGCATTTAACTCAACCATTTCAGGTGTCGGACTCGATTTTCTCTTCCTGCCTTTGTGTTTGATACCTACTGTGCAACTTGCCACTTCTACACAGCGTTCATGGTGGTCATTACTTACCAAGAATACATTAGAATTTAGTTCACAGTACGTTTGACTTTACTTCAGTAGTATAATACACTATGTTTGGTTCTAAGTTCTCTTCAATATAACTCTTGAAAAAATATGTCCTAATGTCGATACCTTTATGCCAGATTTAATATATTTGTATTTAAAAGTATAATGAATTGGTACGAAACTTTGTGTTAAATATTAGAGTACAATTGAAATCAAAAGTTGTCAACCAATTAACTTCAATCTCACTTTTTTAAAATTTTAATTCGCTCACCTGGCACAGAGTCGTGTACTTAGTTTTGAGTCACTTTCAAAATGTGGTAGAAGCTAATAATATAATCTGGTTGCCCAAACTGTTATGTTGTTGGAGCGGGATTCGAACGTAGTACTTAGTAACTGAGGGTTGAGGGCCTTGGCCAATGAAATGCCGCTCTATGAACTAAGTAGTAAATTTTCTGTCGAAATATATTGGGGCGCACTAAAATCTTTGAATTTTAATGCTTCCAGGGAATCTACATTCATTAATGTGTGAACGATTACACGAAATTAACGCTTACATATGTGTTACTGTTAGAGATTTTGTTTGACATCGTCTGCAGTGGTTATCATTTAGTTGGTGTTCAAACATTAATTTCCGTCTTAAAACTAGTAGAGTATCGTTTCTCCTCTGTCGGATCGGAAAATCGCTGTTATAAAGGGTTAGTTCTAGCATTTATGACGAAAGTATATATTTTGACCTCCAAATGCCCTGTTACAGCCAACAGTGATAAGCCACGCGTTTATAGATACTGCTAGGGAAGTCCTATTCTGCTTTCTCATGGCGCGGGTGTTGTTTACGAAATTAAGAGGGAAAAGAGTTGGAAAACTCTGATTACAAACCAGTGATAAGCACAGACTCCATGTTTCTGATGGAACAGATGGAGTATGAACCTATTCTTTGTTCCCAACCACCATGGGACTGCATTTCTTAACGTTGCTCCACTGCCTTGTTGTTTAGACTTCTAAGTCAAACGCTTGGTGAGTGACTCCTGCTTCGGTTTGGGCACCCGGGCAGTATTCCAGCCCTCACAAATTTACTGATATCTACTTTGTGTGACGCGTATATATTTTAGTACCTTTTACGTACTAATGTTTATGTTTAGATAAATAAACAAACGAATTGAGTTGTTTACATTACGAACAATGTTTATCAATAAATATTACTCTCTAATACGGTATGACTGACTGGTAACCCACAAAATCTCGTTACATGCTCATGTGTGCCAGTTATTGGATGCAAGAATAAACATGACTAGTTATTTTTGTAAACATCAAAAGGTACAAGTTTCATGGGTTATTCATGATCCAGTGAAACTAAAACCTGACTCTCTGGTTTGGTTCTTGGTTCACTGTAGCAATCGTTTGTCTCAAGGATTTATTGTATACATTTGATTTGTTCACATTTTAAACATCTGATATTGTTATTTTCGTTATTCCTGTGTAAAATTGCAATTGTGTGTTTCATTTCTACAGAAATAAATTGGAGGACGATAATCGTGCGTTTTTTCAGTGTGGTCTGAATCAACTACGACTTATATTCCATCCTACTCGCTGTCTAAATTATGAAGGTGGTATTATGAGTCCACCTTTTTTGTTTCGAGTTGCTCAAGGTCTCACTAATTTAATGAACTATTGTTCATTCAATCGACTGGAAACTTTCGAATCATGGCCTTTACAATACTGGTTATTTGCTTTGAAGAATCATATCTTAGGTTTTTCAGCTGAACAAAGTACCCCAGTCATTCAATCACATAATGCTTCTTTTTGTTCGGGTTACAAAAAATTTGGCACCAATCGTTGTTTTAGGTAAGCTTTTTTCCTATAAATATTAACTAGATAACTGTGACTTTTATTTATTCTGGATTTTAGTACTTCTCAAAATAATCTCTACATTCCTTGATAAAAAAATAGAACATCCCTTGTTATTTCATCTTTATTATGGGGAAATGTCGAGATTTCCAGAAATAAACTCCAGTTGTCCCCTTTCCTTAGTCTAATTAATCTTTAGTGATAATCAATCAAAACTTCAATTTAAGAAATAACCATACCTTGGGTTATGTTTGTAAACTAGCTCTTCAATACATTTCCACCTAAGTTATCTCATCTGCTAAATCTAGTATTTCAACATTTAACAATGGCGTAAATGTAAGTAAATTAAATTAGCTACTGTAACTTCTCATATTTCTAAAAAAACGGACAACATATTACCGCTTGTATGCTCATTTCTTGGCTATCATTTTGTTTGATAGTTATATCCATTTCAAGGGTATATAACAGTTAGTGTCTCATATGAATGCCCTCAAATAATTACTAAACTTTCATATGCCAATGGTTATTTTTATAGCATTATGTGATTCTTTTATCAGACATCATTATCACAATCAAAACGTACTGTTAATATTTGTTCATAATTATTTTACAGTCGAATGTAGTACAAGCAGTGCTGTGTACAAGTATTTATTGTCTATTTTTTTAGTATTTCTTATTGTATGTTACTGATTTTAATCATTTAATTTTCATATCAGTCCTATGGTGAATCGAAATATGCCGTGCAATAAAACAGAATATACTGGTTCTCATATCTTGTTTTTAATACCGTCAAATTACAACAGTTGGTGTGGTGTTTCAAATGATTCAAAAGACATCTCTTCTTTATGCATTGAATGGTGTAAACGGGGTTGGCTCTGGTGCTTAAATACTATTGAAGATTATTTTCAGACAGGTCGTGAAGTAAGCAATAATGATAAAAAGCTTGTGAAATTACTTAATCGTTTAAGTGATCATGATTCGTCGATTTGTGACGCGACAGCCTATTCACGTCTGAATAAAATTCTTGTTCAGTTGTCAAAATCAAATGAATTTACTAGTCTTACAAATACAGAATCTCCAAGAATTAATCATGATCAACGAGTCAAAAGTCTACAGTCAGACCAAAATTGTTTGCTGGTGTCACGAAATACCTATCCAGTAAACGAGTCTAATGCTTATAATTCTATTTCGTCAGTTCTCAGTAATTCAGTAAGTTAATGCACATATATACGGTGAACAATATTTGTTTCTATGTACAAATTTTTATTTTTATTATATTCTACCGTTCGTACATCTAAATGGACATAATTCTGTATATACTTTGTCTGCATCACCCTACTGCTGTATCTTCTGTCCTACTTGAAGATTATAACTGCTGAAATTCCCACAAAGGAAAGTAAACATACGGAAGACTTGTAGAAATGACGATTTACTTACTCTTTAAAATAACATTCCCAAAACTAAAGTACACTCATCTATACACTGGTTCTCACACACGTACTATCGTCACATATAAGGAAATATACATAAAATTACTACAGAAACAGAATATAGTTTACCTTATTCAGTGCAGTGAATATTTCACGTTGAACGTGTTGTGACTTAAAATTCTAATCGATATCACTTGTTATATTGCCTAATCATAGATCCCGATTAACGATTAGTTCACTTATGAGCAGGAGGATCGATTTTCTAATTCACGAACTGACATATCAATCGATGTACAACACTCAGGACCTTAACGCTTATTGGTCCTTGAGCTCCTTCTAACTCAGTAGCCAGTCAGAAGACGCAGACAAGAAGCAGATTTGTTCTCTATCTTAATCATTTCAATTCATTACTCAAAACACATACAAATAATATACTTAAAATGAATAAGCACACATCCTACCAAGTTAGAAATCATGCTTAAAACACATTCATACCATAAAGAATAGAGAGCTAAACAAGCAGTACATAATTAATTAACAATAACTAAAGGATTGTAAAACCTATAGCGACATTCAATAGATCCACTAAAACCTTACAAAAGGAGGCATATAGAAATCTAACAACATTGTCGTCTACTAATGAAGCAATAGAAATGTAGATAATGGTGCGAAAAATAGTTACAAAAGTTCACACTCGTCATATTGAATGAAATTTATACCTAATCGAAACAAGAATATTAACCTGAAATAATGTCACATTGAACGAGAATTCACAAGTGTGTCATGCTGGATGAACTTCATACTGATCTGAAACAATACCACATTTTTATTCTTTCATAACAGTATACAAGAATTTGAGCTAGAATTAAAGCATAAATGGAAGTGTTACTTTATGACCAGTCAAACAATAATAGATAAAATTCAAAATTATCATGTACTAGTGGTTGAAAGTTGTTATAAAGTTTTCTTCATTTTCCATTTATTTGATAGTTTGGCAACGAATGTATTCAACTTGTTACAACAAGTTATCCGGAATAAATTCTCAAACTATTATTTTTGCATATATATACATATAATATATAAGCCTGTATTTAGGAGGTAAGACACGTGCCCGTGAATTCGTAACACATCTCCCTCTCAATGTATAATATATATGCAATATCCGGTATTTTCCTGTTCATTTGGTGATTAAATATTTGCATCTAAGTGCATCATTTTCGCTGAACATTTTATTGCAAACTCTAACGCGTCCAGCAAGTTGCGTTGCACTACACTGATGCGTTCGCAGAAGACACGTAGATACCTTTAGATGGTTAAAATAATGTCTTCAGTGAAAGTTATACTTTTAAATACAGGATTGATACACTAAATGAACGAGAAAACGCTCAAAATGCTAGATATCACTTTTGTTGAACATTTGAAAAGGCTGGTTATCCTTAAATGTCATATATCTTATCTAGAAGTGTTGTCACGTCCTATTTTTAATTGTTTATAGTGTGAATATTTAAAAGATGATATTAAGAACTTAGTATAATCACGTCCTTTTTTATTGCATTGTAGGATGCAAAAGAAATGCCAACTATAGTTTCACCTATAGTTCAAATGAACAATTCACATCTTAATTCATGTTCTGTTACAACTAACAACAAAGATACAGAACGTTTACAAGTGAATGCAATGAACAGTATCAATCAAATTAAGACTCATTCACAAACTTTCATATCACCTTCATCGGTTAATACTCCTATTCGTTCAACTTATATAACAGCAGAAAATCCTAACCATAATGTTAACTCAACTCTTACTTGTTCATTAACAGAATTTTGCAAATCACTACAAAATACTACTGGTGTACCATCTGCTAATCGAATGACAACAACAGCTTATCGTCAGGTAGATGAATTTCTTCAAATAAATACTTTGCATCTTTTTTCTTCTCTATCTTCTCTCCTTCTTTGTTTACCACGTGATATGATTTTGTTAATTTACTTTGTTCACAGAATAGTTAAATCTTTTTCATTTCTATGTAACATACTGGTTGTAATATTGTTACTTTCCTTTAAAATAATTAATAATATTATAGTAAAAAGAACACGATATTTTCCCCTTTGTTTGTACTTTTTGATTGAATTGTTTGATGTGCTTTCATAATGACTGTATGCTATCTATCACATACCAATGTGTTTAAATCTTGATTCTGTTTTTTTCTTCTTTTTTTCATTTTATTATATTTTAGGATTCTTGTCTAACTAATCTAATCAGTGTTTGGCAGACTTTAGTCAGTGGTCTGTCTTGTCAGTTAGCTGAAACAAAAGCTGAACTTACACGTAGTCGAGAGCTTAATGAACAGTTATCTAAGCAATTAAATGAGACTAGCAAACAGCTATCAGATGCAGTTAATAAATTTATTGAATTTGAAAAAAATAATCGAATTGTTTCAACTAAGCCTTCAATTGATATTACTGCACCATCAGGAGTTAATATGTTTGAAAATCCAATCCGAGAACTTTCAGTTGCTATTAATGAACTTCGTCATTGGCTTCCAGAGAGTATGGCAGCTGCTGCTTGTGCTGCTGTCGATGCGCGCTTAAAAACGTCTGTCCAAGCTCCTGTACCACCATGTAGTCAGCATCAGTTATCAAGTCATTCAGAAGTATTAATACAGTCAAATAATACGGGTATTTTTCTCATGTATCTTTTTAGTTATTCGATTATTTCTTAAGGTTTTTATTACCAATAATGAGTGTTTTTCTGTGCTATCATTCGTTCTTTAGATCAAAAATTGACACAATAAAATCCTATGAACATTCTTGTTTGCAATCAAAAAGATTTTGGTGTATTGATTTTCGAAAACTTGTCACAAAGTTTAGTGTTCTCTTTTTTTCAACTGTACTGGTGCTTAACACAAATTCCTATATTGATTCCATCTGTCCTAACCACATCAAAATTATGTCAAGGATTACAAACTGATTTTCTATAAAATTTCTGTTTATCCCGTACATTTAATGCATAAGATTGTCAAATCTTGTAATGTAACATAATGCAAAACAGTAAAGAAACAATGTAGCTTTTTTCCTATAGGGTAACACTCTCGAATTGTTACGAATATAGAATTGTCAAATAGAATTTATGCAAAAACAAATCAATATAGATTAAAATGAATTTCTGTAACATTCCGTTCAATGGGATAAACTGCTCATGAACTTCCCGTATATTTTAACTAGGATTCCTGTCCAGTGACAAATACTCAATTCATAATTTCTAATCATTATGACTAGTATATAATAATGACATATAATACACTGATTGAAGCTAGACGTCAACGTCGTTGAATGTTGACTCTGGTCTAGAGTATCACATTCTGATCGGATCATTTCCTATTTAGTCACTAAATTAGGCGTTTTCTCAGACTTCAAGAATGCCAAGGTCACCTCACAAAACTAAAAACACAGAAATCAACTCCGAAAGTAAAGCTTCTCATAATCCTTGCTTTTTGTTGAATGTTCGGAGTTCAAGTGTACGAAAATTGTCAGGAATTAAGAAATGGCCAAGAAGCCATTATGAACCTTTTGAGTACCGGATATATCAGTTCATAACTAGTACATGTTTACTTCATACAATTTCACATTTTTTAAAAGCTAAATCTGTCCAAGAAAAACCAAAGCTCAGTACTGTTATTTCGTCACCCAAATCAAAGGATAAAGATTTCGAACAATCTCCTGAGGCTTATGAACCAGATGTACATTTTACACCCGTCATAGAAACACTTCCAGATCTTGTTGAATTGAAAAACGAAGAGGAAGATGAACAACGTCTATTTGGTGAACGTGCTCGTCTATTCCATTGGGATAAGTCAAGTGGGAGTTGGAAAACTCGTGGACTTGGTGATGCTAAAATTTTAAAGAATCCAAAAACTGGTAAATGTCGCTTAGTTATGAGACGTGATCAGGTATGTATGTGTATTCTTATTAATTTAGATTACATTTATTGTGTTTTTGTTCATTTAGTATCTCATTGTTGAATGTTTAGATATAGCTTTTTTATATCGTTCACATAGCATTCCTTTTACAACAAATCCCCTGCTACTAGCCTTTTAAAGCAAGTTGAGATGCCATAATCAAATTTATTTGTGTTAACATAAAGTTTGAAAATAGTTGTTTTTATTGTTGTACCAGATATATTTTACTAGTTTTCCTCTTCATTTTTTAGGTGAAAAAATTATGCGCAAATCATTTTATTACTCCTTCAATTAAACTAACTCTTTCAACGAAAGATCAAAAAATGGCTATGTGGACAGTTAAAGATTATTCAGAATCTATGGAGGGTATCGATGAATTGTTTATGATTCAATTTAAATCACCTGAAATACTTAATGATTTCAGTAGAATCTTCTCTGAATGTACAAAAGAAACCAGTATTGTAAATACATCCGTAAAGTTAATATCTGATACTGTTAATAAATCACCATTCAAAAATGATACTGCTGTTGGTGTAAAATCATCAGGACCTGTAACAGAAAGTGTTCAATCAACTTTGAATGTTAATTCTAAGCCATTAAAAGTAGACAAATCGAAAAATACTGTTCAATCGACCAAACCGTCATCGAACATAGACCTGTCAAAGTTTGCTCCTAAATTAGATTCATGGGAATGTCCAACTTGTTTACTGTATCATGACTCGTCTGTTACTGTGTGTTCAGCATGTCAAACTGCTAAACCGGGCTCTTCAGGAGAACATTCAACTGTTACTTCTAAAGCTACTCTTTCAACATCTTTATTTGGTGGCATTTTACAAAATACTGGTGGTTTTGTATTTGGAAATCCAAAAGGTTCAGAGATCATGACTACTACCACTAATACTACTTCTACTACTAATGCTAATATTACTGATTCTGTTAAAATAGCCACAGCAACAGTTACAACGTCAACAACACATAAACCTATATTCAGTTTTGTTGCCACCTCTCCTAAGCAACTTACAAATGTATTTCCTTCTATATCATCATCTCAGACACCAGTAACAAAGTCGTTCCTTTTTACTTCTCCATTCACTACAAACTCTTCTACATGCCCACCATCGATTCCTACGTTTTCTACTCCTTTAACATCCAGTGCGTCAACTGACGAGAAAAAGACAGTTGCACCCAGTTCAGGATTCACTTTTTCTTTTGGTAACGCATTATCTAAACTGAATGAAACGAATAAGCCATTGACAGTTAATTTTTCAACTCCTACTCTTAATAGTAGTCATCATAACGACGATAATGATGACGATAAAGTCGAACTTCTAGATGATTCGAAATTGACATTTAAACCTGTGCTTGAAGTTATGCCACAAAAGATTGAAGTTGTAACCGGAGAAGAAAATGATGACGTTATATTTTGTCGTCGCGCCAAACTTTATCGTTGGGATAATAACACTTGGCATGAACGTGGAGTTGGTGACTTAAAATTACTTCGTTCTACAATAACTGGTGTAATACGTTGTTTGATGCGTCGTGATCATGTTTTGAAAGTATGTTGTAATCATGTGATCGGAGCTGGTATGCATTTAAAACCCATGAACACTGGAGGTGGTCGTGCTTGGAGTTGGTGGGCTATCGATTATTCTGAGCAGTCTGATGAAGCTAACAAAACGACCGAAACTGATTCGTCTGATTTGGTTGGTGGAGGTAGACGTGAGACATTTGCAGCTCGTTTTAAGCTTACTGAGGATAGTGATGAATTTCGATCACTTTTCGAGGAAGCTGTTCAAACGGCTGAGAACCGTGCCAAAACATCTCAGTCAAGCGAAATAAAACTGTCGAGTAAAGAAACAGTGGATCTAGATCAAAACGGTGATGATACGGACTCTGATGTAGTTGTCGTTGAACTTCCTTTAAAGGTTAGTTCAGTGTTTATTATGCTCACTATGAATCTGTTTAACAAACATAGATGACGTGTTCTGAAATAATTTATCCCGTCGTTTCGTATTTTCAAATGTTTATAGTTTCTAAGGAATAGTGTACTAATGTGAGGTGTTGACAGTTGACATATGTTATTTTCTTAAGATATATTTAAGTCAACTTGTAGATTAAAACTTTCTTGGCCCTCTCACTCCACAGCTACATTTCGTCTTTTATACTTGTATTTCTAGGTATCAGATGATCAATTATCTAGGGCTCGTAGACTTAAATTACCTGATGAATTTTACAGTTTTGAAAATGGTCACATAACTGGTGAATCAGAGCATCTTACAACACGAGAAGAAGCCGAAGAAGATGCACTATTAGAAGCTGCTGTAAAAAGTAACAGAGACAGTGGTACTACTACTACTACAGAACATTCGGATAGTGATTCTACTGTTAAACTCACACCGACTTCTAAACAGCAAAACGTAACTACCGAGGTTCAGTGTACAAAAGCAGTTACAGGTAAGCGTTTGTTTTGCGAATCCAACGAAAGTACCGGTTTCCTTTTTTAAATACATATTCAGCAAGCTTATGTTTTATCAACGGTCTTCGTGTGTTTAGTCTCCAATATTTAAGTAATAAGTAACACATATGTTAAGTTCCATGTCTAACGCGATTGAAAAATGTCAATTAATTTGGACATGAATTTCTGCGTATTACTCATAGTGCTGAATTGAACGGCAAGATGATCAGATATAGGTTGGATTATTAATAGCGCTGGAATAAATCTTGATTATTTCTAATAACTAGCTAAATCATAGTTGCAATTGTATGTACAAAACTTATGAACTCATTTGTAGGGGTCTAATTCAGTCAATAAAATTATTTTTTGTTTATAAAATTTTTTTCTGATATTCTCTGTTACTATTGTAACTCATTTACTAAATATCTATATACTCAGCTTTAAGTGAACTACAATGTTTGTATGATGGCTAGTGACATTATTAGGTATGGTTGGCCAAATCATTGCACTTGAACCTGAGGTTCGAAAGTCCGGTCTTCTAGTTGGAAGCCAAGGGTTTTAATCATTCAGCTACCACTGATATCTTCTATATGACAAATATTTTCTTGTTAGATCACTAAATCATGAGAACTGTAAATAAGTATACAATATTAACAATAGTGTGATTGAATAGTTTGTTTTACTGCTCACAATATCTTTACATTTATTTATTGTAACGATGTTTTCACCTACTTGTCAGCTTCTTCATCGTCTCCCATGTACATCCCACAAGCCAAGGGTTTAATTAGTTTTTCAACGTTGAGTAATGCTGCCTCTAAAGACAGTCAACCAACATGGGGTTCACCAAATAATGCTCCAACATGGAGTAATGTAGGTGCACAACTATTTACTAAACCTGTCAAAGCAGCAACTGAACAAGATGACGAAGAAACATCTGACACAGAAAATGATCCTCATTATGAACCGATTGTTCCATTGCCAAAACTTGTTGAGGTATGTCTTTCTTTCCAATAGTATATCCATAGTTTTCAATTTGATTGTCTTCCAAATTATAACAATAGTTCTGTTCAGATTTCAAAAACCAGAATTAAATACTGCAGTTTTCATTGCCTACACACTATATGTTCTTATTATTCCAGGTCAAGACTGGAGAAGAAGAGGAGCTTTGTATTTTCCTTCGACGTTGCCGTGCCTACCGTTATGTTGATAAAGCCTGGAAAGAACGTGGCGTCGGTGAAATCAAAGTTCTTGTACAACCTCGTACTATGCCTACAGATGCTAAACACTTTGGACCACGTGATGTAGTCCCTCTAGAATATAAATTAACTGACATTGGACGTGCACGTATTTTAATGCGTCGTGATCAAGTTTTAAAATTATGCTTAAATCATCCTATTAGTCATGAAATACCAGTCTTAAAACCAATGGGTAATATGTCTGGTGGTAATAGTCTATGTTGGGTTGGTGAAGACTACAGTGAAGGTTCAGCTAGCCTGGAAACATTAGCTGTTCGATTTAAGGTGAGTGTGACAAAAAGAGTAGAATTCAATTTATTTAGATAATCAGTATGGGATTGTAAAGTTTTCTATTGAGATCATGAGTTGATCAATGTTAGACCACCATTTAAAACCTGAAAGCACTGGACGGCCGTTCCGTCCCAGTATGGGACTCTCCAGCAGTGCACATCCACGAACCCGCAAGCAGGGTTCGAACCCAGGACACCCGGTCTCGCGCGACAATTGATGCCGACTTAGTGACTTAGAGTTCGCACGCGAGACTGTAGCTCCTGGGTTGGAATCCTGCTTGCGGGGTCGCGGGTGTGCACTGCTGGTGTCCCATACAGGACGAGACGGTCGTCCAGTGCTTCTAGGTTTACTATGGTGGTCTAGCATCGATCGATTCATGATCTTAATCATTTAAATAAATATGATACTACCAGTAAAGTTTTATTTGTGGAGTCGCTTCTTTATTGTCCTTCTAAAAAAGTTATTATTTCTTTCTTTCCTTTTCGTTATCGTTTAGCTTGATACAGATGCCGAGGAATTTAAAGCTGCAATCTCACGAGCACAAGCAGCGCTAAGTGATTCATAATTTCAGCGAGGTAATAAAGTAGTATGTATGTTGTGTAATATACTTCGAAATATATCTTGTCTGTTCAAAATCGATTAACTATTATACTTTTTAATGATTTGCTTACCAATTGAGTAATAGCTATTTTAATTTGCGTGATTAGTATACAAATTGGTCTCTACCTTTTTTGTAGCTAACTCATTTGCGAAGTACAACTCGATCACATTTGTCTTTGCAAATTGCACAGATTTGTGATAAACATATTTTTGACAAAAAAGCGACATATATGTATTGGTTAATAGAGGACACATCATATTCCAAGGTATATCGTCCAGGTGCAAACTGCTCACGAGATTGAATTATTAACATAAGCTCTTGTAAATGATAGTGTAATCAAACGACGCAATAGGTCATTTTACTTACGCCTGTTGCCCTTCGTTGAGGAGCATAGGCCGCTCACCAACATTCTCCATCCAACTCTGTCCTGGGAAATCTTTTCCAGTTGCTATTTATCCTTTTGATATCCGCTTCCATGAGCAAGCTTTGCAAATTGCTCAATATGGCGGTCGAATTTTGACTACAAGGTTAAATTTTCACTCGTTATATTAACTCAGGTGATAATAATTAGTCAGTGATTCAATGCTTGAAACACTTGACTATCCCAATTACTACTGAATTGCATATTCAGACAACGACTTCACACCTATTTCAATGTAGATAGTCATGCAGTAAATATCATTAGCCAGCCTTATAAACAAAATTAACTCTAATCCACACTTACATATATTGTGTAAAATGTTAATGGTATTATTGTCATACTATCATCCATATTTGTTTGAGTAAAATGATAAAGAGACTCAAATTTACAGGTCATTAAGTAATTCTCATGCATTACACTCATATGGCCACGCGTATATAGCCTCTGCCAGGGAAGTCTTACTCACTGCCTTCTCACAACAAGGGTGTTGTTTACGAAATTGAGAGGACGAAAAGCGAATGTCCGGCGCTTTAACCGGATTCCAAACCAATGGTGCACATGGGCTCCAATATCCTGCGGGAACAAATGGCGTATGAACCAATCGTTGGTCATCGGCTTCCATGGGACTGCATCTCCTTACGATGCTCCACTGCCTTGTGGATCAGACCTTCAGGTCGAAGGCTCGGGGAGTGAGGCCCCCTAAGAAAACCACCTGCTTCGGTTTGGGCACCCGGTCAGTATCACAGCCCTCACACATATCGAATGAGATTTGTGTAGCACATATGTATTTGGTGCCTCCTTATATCAATATCTATGTGTTAAAATAATAAACGCTCATATTTACTTTTAAACTTTTTAATCCAATCATACATTTTGTTTCTTTCCCATTTCAGTATTATCTTCTCCTTGGATAAATTTCTTTCGTGAATGTTTTCATGACTGTTCAATTATGAGAATGTCTTAATCTTATTCATTTACCATCTCTTATACATGTTATTGTATTCTCGACTCTCTCGATCAATGTATATCATTAAATACTACTTTACAATATAAAACTGGTCATATATACCTATGTTTTGTAATAAGAAAATATAACATAGATTTATCATTTGTCTTCTCTCTTTTTTGTTGTTGGTTCTATCCCCATTTCAAATCCAACCGATAAATTACTAATATATAATTCGATTTTATTTCAAAGGAATAATAAAACTCAATAGATTATTATCTTACAAAGGTTACAAATGTGATTTAATAATAGTTCGATCAATTGTTTGTTCATGAAGTTGTATCAATCGAGAAATTAGAATAGATTCAATTTCTTGTGATATGATTTGCCGTTTATTAATTTCATCAATATTATTCTCCATATTTATATGTTCAACAATTATGTCCTGTGTATTGTTCTGTTTAAATACTAACCATACTTCTTTTGATCTGGTTTGTAAAAGATTAGCAACTATCACATTGGGATTGTACATTTCAAGGGATTGTTTTGCTTTAACTAATAACAGTCGATGATCTGTTTCAAGCTCAAAATAAATAAATACATTTATCTCAACATTTTATAAGAATTATAAACAATATTTTCACAATAAACCAGTTCAATGCTAGGCTAATATTAATTTCTACATAATACTGTCATGAACGAGGATACAGGGTGGGGACAACCAAATGTATGTTTAATAAAAAAAAATACAGAATGTCTTTGTTTTATTACGATCACTGGTGGCTATCAGGACTCAGTAGCTGAGTGGATAACGCGATGGCTTTTGAAGCGAATGGTACTGGGTTCGAGTCCCAGGGTGAGCATCAACTCTGAGGTGCAGGTACGTCCAGCTGATGAGTCCCAAATGGGGCGAAACGCTTCCTGGATTCCACTGTCCATCATTGCTTACGATCAGTGGTCAGTTTTTCTAGATTGTGATCATTTTATTCCGGAGTTAAACTAGTTAAGTGGCCCGTTAATATTGTGTAGTTGGATTTTGTATTTGAATAGATGTCGTGTTGAAGGCGTAAATGAGCAGTTTGTGGTGGGGTTGTTTAATTACTCAACTTCCACTTATTAGATTTTAGTCTCTAATACCACTTCATCTACCTAAATCTAATCAATTGGTTAGTCCTTGTAGTTGAAAAGTGGCTTGAATTTTGGTTACACCATTTATTTTTGGTTGTAGTATTGCTAGCCTTGACATAAAGGAATGTAACTAAAGGCTGACTTTATTAACACGTAATTGGTGAATGAGTAGCGTTTGCATCGTAGTACTTGCAATTAAAGGAAATTTGTCAAAGCAATGTGATATGTATCAGTGAAATACATTTCAACCTGATCACACGTTTGGTATTGTGTTATCTGAGCTGGTCGATTGAATTATGAAGTTTTCTTTGCTTAACTAGACAACTTGTCATCAATACATACTTCAAAAGGCAGTGAGCTATTGGAATTTTTCACAATCGCTTAATAGTTCGTTGTTCTGTTGACATGGAATCCGGAAGGATTGTTGTCCATTATTATGTGGACGTTGTTTGCTTGCAAACAAAGTTTTGATTGTGATATTTTATCCGAGAATTCAATAAGTTAGCATTAATTCACTACAGTTTAGATTTTACAGGGAAAGTTCCTAAAAAAGCATCACCTTTTTTAGTACAATAATCAGATGCCTTAGTAGCTTAGTTATGTATTTCATCGCTAAATAAAAGACTACATCCAGTTTGGTACATACAAATTATCACATCAATCTATAAAAATTATGAGGTGTGTAATGAACTTAGAAAACAGGCATAAATTATTCAAAACTGTATAGATTTTGAGAAATAAGTAGTAGAATATTTACTTGTAAATAAATTGTTATGATCACATTTTTATCTAATTATAAATTAAGGCAAGTATTGGTGAAGCAAGAGTAGCATACCTAAAGTTGAAGGACATATGGAATTCGAAATAACTGTCAAACAATATCAAAGTCAGAATCTTCAACACGAACGCCAAGATAGTTCTGTAGTACGGAACATGCTGAAGAGCAAGTACAAATCAAATCTAGGTTAATCAAATGTCCAACGGACGACTGTGAACAGTGATGGGGAACGAAAGCAAAATAGATGGAAAAGGCAGCGGCTATAGGGAACACAAGACAGCTTTACAGACTAATAAAAGAAACCAGAATTAATAAGTCAAGTGTAAGTGAGATTATTTCGGAAAAAGACGATACTCTCATCTGCTCCAGTTCAGACGTTTAGAACGATGGGCGGAACACTTTAGAGAACATTCCAGCTGGCCTTCGGCTACTCCACAATTACGCTCCATTCCCAGACAGTGTGAATGGAACATTGAAGTAGGTCCCCCAACTCTTGCTGAAGTTCGAAAGACTATAGTTAATCTGAAACGAGGAAGGGCAGCTGGTCCAGATGGACTGGCTCCAGAGGTCTTTAAGGATGGTGGTCCAATTTTAGCGATCAGGTTGACTAATATTTTAGCTAAGATCTGGGAATTA